AGTATTTTTACAGTCTTTATTTTACAGTTAAAATATACATTTATCAAATAAAGTCTAATGTTACAACTAATCAGGGATCCCTTTAAATTACCGTTTAAGAGAGTCAAAATGTAATTATTCCAAGTCAAAGCTAATTTATAGATATCTATAATTACAGCTTGTCAGACAAAGCTGATTTTATGTTAAAATAGCCTGCCATACTKTGTGCCTCATAGGAACAGCAGCTAAACAGAGGAGGTTTCAGCTTGTTAAAACATTTCGGTTTAAGATCCAGACGGGTCAGGAGGTGGAGCAGTTTGTATGAGCCGAAGACTTCCTGAAAGCAGCTAAAAAGATTAGCTACATGTTAAAAGMAGAGCTAGCTAAACATAGGAAAACCAGCTGTTTATTAAAAGGCTAGCAAAAAAGGTTTATGTGGTGCTGGCTCATGCATGGACCACTTTTAGCTAATCACATCTGGACCACCAAAGGGCCGTCACTTTTTCAGTTTTTGGCCTTGAGTGGGCCAGAGCTGGCCCACTCAAGTTCTGCTGTGTGGGGAGCTGCTGTTGTTGTAAGTGACAGGTATGAATCTGTACAAATGTTTTCTTTTAAAGAACTGTCCTTTATTTCAGCTGCTCCAGTAAAGATGGCTGAGAGACAAAGCAGGAAACGACTGGGTTCCTCCTCCTCAGGGTCCTCGGCTGCAGCGAGCTCGTCCACTGAGCTGCCTGACAGGTACGTTCAGACAGTAAAGTTAAAGTAAAGCTGTGAGCAGCCGGAGAAAGTATCAAATCCTTACAGTTTGTTGCTTTTACTAAGAAGTGCACCTCTTAAAAATATGTGTTTTTGTTAAYAATAACAGCTGTTGACAAAATCTCTCTAAAATATAAAAGACGAACAAAACCAATGAATGGAAACCTCAAATCAAAACAAACTTTAAAGATTTCAGGAAAGTCTTGAAGCAAAATGTGTAAATAAGAGAYGGTTCATAACTTTTGCACAGAACAGGGTGATTAGGATGACGTGGGAGGACAGTCTTTATCCTGTCTTTGACTTCTCCTCATTGTTACACTTCCTGACACTTCGATGAACTCAGTCTTTGTTAGAAGGAAGAATTRTCTTCACAGTACACTGTAAATTATAATAAAAAGAGTTAAGATAACCTGAGTGATTAACTGTGTTTGTAGTTCACAGAGCAGAGGGACCAAATCACCACTTTCCAGTTTGTCATTGAAAAGTGATGCATCCAAGTTTCTGCCACCTGTCTTCAGTAATGAAAATCCCCAAAGGTAAACAAAACTATTTATTATGTTTGACATGTTTATTAGTGATTTTATACTCCTGACCAGTGATGGGACATATTAGGTTTAAATTGAAAACCATTTACCATAGAAATGTCAAACTGCACAGCTG